CCCCTGGGCTTGTCTGATAAACACGGTGGCCCAAATTATTTCTTTAGAAATGTGGACAAATGGTTGATTCCGGGAGAAAAGGTGTTAATATTTGCCAGGGGCTGCACTTTGGGTGATTTTTCCTGGGTTAAAATGAGGTATAAAGAAGCAAAATGTTGTGAAAAATTCTAGAAATGCAAGAGCTGGGGCTTGGCTTGGTCCATGGACTGGTTCCAGTTTGGATTTGCCTAAATGTTGTCATGCAGGACTGGGGAAAAGCTGGAAGGAGGKTTTTGTGTATTGAGATTTTTTTAAAAAGATCCATTTGATGCAGAATCTCCCCACACCCATTTTCCTTTTGAAATGTAAGTCATCTGTCTGGAAGGGAAATTGTGGGATTAGCAAATTCTTTGTTTTCCAGCTGATCCCAGTCTCAGATTATTCGACAGCAGGGGATGAAGCAGTTGTTCAGTCACCCCATGTAATTATTCATGATTATTTTCCCTGGCAGGGCATCGAAATTGGGATGTGCACAACTAAAACATGGCATAAATGCAGGAAAAAAAAAAAAAATCATGGCCTAGAGGTTCTGGAAATCTTCTMATTTCCTTTAGGTTTTCATGTGGTTATTGGCTTTAAAAATAATTGCTGTCCAGGCTCTGGGAATGCAAATTAGGGGAAAAAAATTATAATTATAGATGGATCTGATTTGATGTCACCTGGATTCTTCCATCCCCCTCAGTGATGGGGAAATTTCTGTAGAAAAATGGTTTGACTGGGATAAAAGGACTAAACCTGTCACGGATCAGGGATTTCTCCTGCTAATTCCCCTTCCTGCTGATTTCCTTGGGTCACCTGAACCCTTCCCCCAGGAGCAAATGTGGATCATTAATGTTTTACTGGGGCTCTGAATTTAAACTGAATTTTACTCCCCATTAACTCCTGRGTGTAATTTCCAACCAAAACCCACWCAGAGCTGATGGAGCAGGAGTTKGAGGCATTTTCCTTTCCTTATTTTCTGATTTGAAGCACAACTGAGATCTCTCCTAGGTACAGCTTGCTGTTGGTGTGTGATGCCAAAATTTTCTGTGCATGTCCATCATTTTTATTGGGTTTGAAGTGGGTTTTAGTATGAATATAAATATAAATATAAATATAAATATAAATATAAATATAAATATAAATATAAATATAAATATAAATATAAATATAAATATCAGTATCAAAATATCAATATAAATATCAATATAATATAATGGAAATAGAAATAGAAATAGAAATAGAAATAGAAATAGAAATAGAAATAGAAATAGAAATAGAAATAGAAATAGAAATAGAAATAGAAATAGAGAAATAGAAATCAGTGGGTGGGGAGAGCACAGCTCTTAAATTTCTGTTTTGCCTGAAGATTTAATATCCAGATAATTACTGCAACCTGTAATTATCTGGAGAACTCAAAGCACATCCTGTTGGATATTTGGATGCCCCATCCTTGCAAATTCTCCAGGACAGGAGCGACCTGGTCTGGAACAAAATTATTTTTATGTCACTTCCAACCCAAACCATTCCATGATTCTATGGCTGAGGACATCATAATTGGAACAATCTGGAAAAAAATGAGATTCCAGATTAGCCACAGGGAATTGCTTCCATCAAATCCATTTTCTKCTTCCTGCTGGACCAAATTTGAGCTGCAAAACCCAAGCTGTGGTGCCCTTAGGGCTGAGAATTCCATAATTTTTGTGTCAGGAAGGTTTCTTTCCGGATTTTTCCGTGATTCCACGTGCAAACCAAGCCAGCCAGCCATCCCTAGGAATATCCCATGGATGTGACACTCCCTTGAGAGAYATTTCAAACTCACCTGCCCACATGAACAACACCACAACGATGATGAGGATTTCCCCAGCTCGCAGCTGTTGGTTTTTCTTCGCCATCTCTTTCATTGTCACCTCATCTGCACAAGAGACCCAAAAACCTGCTCAGATCCTGTTTTAACAGTGCTCCTGACCCCAAATGGGGGCAGAGCCAGCAGGGAGGGCACCCTGAGACTCCTCAGACCACTTGGATTAGGTTTTAGGAAGAAATCCTAAAAATCTCTAAAGAAATCCTAAAGAAATCACTTCCCAGAGAAGCCGTGGCTGCCCCATCCCTGGAAGTGCCCAAGGCCAGCTCGGACAGGGCTTGGAGCCACCAGTGGAAGGTGGTGGAAGCGGGGAATGGGATGGGATTTAGGATCCCTTCCAACCCAAACCATGGGATTCCATCATTCTGTGCCATCCTGAGGGGATGGGGCTCAGGAGGAGCAGAGGGACAGGACTCAGCATGTTACCTGTCCCCATAATTTATCTTTATCCATCCCCAGAATTTATCTGGCCCCATATTTTATCCATCTCCACATTTTATCGATCCCCACATTTTATCTGTCCCCACATTTTTATTTGTCCCCACATTTTATCCATCCTCACATTTTATCCATCCCCACACATTACCTGTCCCTACATTTTATCCATCCACACATTATCTCTCCCCAAATTTTATCTGTCCCCACTATTATCTGTCCCCACATTTTATCCATCCCCACATTTTATCCATCCCCACACATTATCTGTCCCCACATTTTATCTGTCCCCACTGTTATCTGTCCCCACATTTTTATCTGTTCCCACATTTTACCTGTCCCCACATTTTATCCATCCCCACATTTTATCCGTCCCCACATTTTATCTGTCCCCACATTTTTATCTGTTTCCACATTTTATCCATCCCCACATTTTATCTCTCCCCACATTTTATCCATCCCCACACATTTTATCCATCCCCAATTTTATCCATCCCCACACATTTTATCCCTCCCCGTGGCTGCTCTCCCCGCCGTCCCCATCCCCGTCGGTGCCATCTGCGCCTGTCACAAAGCCTTGCACGCTCCAGCAGTTCCTCCTCCTGCAGATCCTGGCAGGATATTTTCCAGCAGAGCCCTGGCAAGTCAGGAAGGAGCAGAGCCCTTTTTTTCCAGGGTGTAAATTCACCCTCCTCAAAGCATTAAGGAGATTTCGGTTCAGCCCCCAGGAAAGGAGCAGCGCTCCTCTTAGTGCTTGCAGATAAACAGCAATTGGGGATTTACAGCCTCCAAATCAGGGTAATAATRAGAGTTGAGGATTCACAGCTTCAGAACCACGGCCAAAAACCCCAGAAGAGGCTGAATCCTCAGCAGGCATGGAGGGAGCTGTGTGTCCCCCCAGCTTTGCACTGCCAGGACCTTTTTGGAGCAGGATTCTTGCTGACAGAAAATCCCCAACAGCCTGGTTTGGCWCCAAAGCGAAGGAGTTGATTCTCCATTCTCTGATTTTCTCCACRAARATATTGAAAACCCAGCTGGAYGTGATCCTGGACAGCCTGCTCTGGTTGAGCTCCTTCTGGGTGAGCTCCTTCCCACCTCAGCTCTCTGCAATTTTGGCAGAAATGCTGAAAATGTAACAAAAGTGGGAGGCTCTGGGTGTTTTTTTCCCTGAAATCCGAGCACAGGAGGCTCTGTGAATCCCACAAGTGCCCTGTGAGCACAGTGAGTGTGAGTTCACAAACTGCCCATGAATTCCCCCTGGAATTCTCCACTTGTAAGGAGCAGATCACAGAGCTGGGAATCTTTTCCTCTTCCCTTCGCTTCTAAATCTCATTGAAAACAGGAAAAAGGAGCAGCATTTCCATCACCTCCAKCTCTATCTGCTGTGTCCCCTCACCATGTCCAAGGGGCTGTGAGGTGACACTCAAATTTTATCCCACAAATTTCTCCCCAAATTTCTTCTCACCCCAGTTCCTCTCCGCGGTGCCCTGCATCCCAGGGGCCGCGTCGGAACTCACCCACACTTGCCTTTATTTTTAGAGGCCAATTTCTCMGCTTCCCTGGGGGTTTTGAAGAGGACTGGCTCGCTGGCCGGGCTCTGGCCTTGGATGCTGATGGCCTGGACGTGGACAATGTACTCGGTGTCCTCCTCCAGGTCCCAGAGGGCGCAGGAGCGGGTGGTGGTGTTCACCTCCTGGATGAAGCGCAGCATCCGCACGTCTTTTTTCTGGAATTTAAGAAAGGAGAGCGCAGAGTGGTGGAGAAGACTCCCAAGTGTGCCTCTGTCATCTAAAATCACCCATTCCTGCCCTGCCCGCCACGTGGATGTGGAAAAACATCGGGATCTGTCCCTCTCCAAATTGGTGGAGATAAATTCCCTCTGGGATCAAATTCCCTCTGGGACCAAATTCCCTCCCGGATCACAAAGGACAGGATGAGAAGGAACGGGCTCAAAATGCAGCCAGAGGATTTGGGAATGGAGGAGATTGAAAGTGGGTGATTTTTGGCACGATACCTGTTGGGAAATGGCAAATCCGATGACAACTTCGTCCTCCAGGACATCCCAAGTCACCACGGCCGAGTTGGCTTTGAGGTGTTTGACTGTGACATTGACTGGAGCCGAGGGGCTGTCTGCAAGGAGGGAGAGCAGAACTTTTAGAGGGGCAGGAGACACAGGGAGGGCAAGAAAAGGAGTGCCAAAGAACCTTCCTCAGGGTCCTTCCTGGATGTGGGACCTGGAAATTGTGGGTCTGGATTCCCACGATATGTCAGTTGAGATATGAGTTATGTTACACATGGGTTTGAACTGATAGAGCGTAAATTTAGGGTGAATTTAGGGTGAATTTAGGGAAGAAATCCTTCCCTGGGAGGGTGCTAGAGGTTGCTCAGAGAAACTGTGGCTGCTCCATCCCTGGAAGTGTCCAAGGCCAGGTTGGAGCACCCTGGGACAGTGCAAAGTGTCCCTTGGCAGAGGTGGCACTGTCTGATCTCTCCATCCCTTCCAAACCCAAACCATCCCACGATTCCACGTGCGAAATACCCGACCCTTGGGAAGAATTTCTGAGCACCACAGCCGAGCCCTGAGCAGCTCATTCATCCCATCCCACTCTCCCCATCCACATTTTCCCCATTTTCCCCATTTTCCCCATTGTTCCCTATTTCTGACGGTGACAGCTGGGAAGAAATTCCAGCTCTGCCTCAGAAGCTGCTCAGGAACGCTTTGATCAGCGCCCTGGAGATTTGAAACTCCGGAGCAGCAGCACAATCAGGAATTTTTCTTTTCCTTTTCCCCCCAAACCTGGCAGAAAATGGTTTTTATACCAGGTTTTGTGGCTGATGGCAGAGCACATCCAGCGAGGATTCTCTCAGAGCTGCCATGGCTCCGATGGATATTGGGGCAGGCTGGGAAAGCAGAAGCCTAAAGTTCTGTGTTTGTTCCCAATTCCAWTTCCAAATTTCCAGCAGGAGCCTCTTCCCAAGGGAGCTGCCCAGTCCAGAGCCCATCCCAAGGGAARTTTTTGCCTCCTAAACTTGGCACAACCTTCCCAGCTGGACTCTGTTCCTGCTCYTCTGGTCAAATTTAATTCACATTCTCCAGCTTGTGCCCAGAACCCACAGCAATAAATGCTCTGAGTAGCCTCAGGAGGTCAATAGGGTGAGGAAGTTTTTTTATCCTGAATTTTTAAAGAATTCATATTTTTATTTCATTATGAGCACCCCTTTGGGGCCGGGACCGAGGTCACAAGCACAAGAGGGATGCACTTGTGCCCATCTCCAGTGTCACCAGTTGGATTTATGGTCATTCCCAGCCGCCTGGATGGGGCTGAAAATATTSGAGCTGTGGTGTGAATGTCTGACATCACTCCTGGTGAATGTTCCCCTGGGGAACAGAGGAATAACAGGAGCACAGAATTCCCCACTGAAGGTCACTTGGCACGGTGATCCCTTACTCTTTTCACAGCCAGCAGGGAGACCCTGAGGAATTGGATATCTGAACAAGCCAGGTTGATTCTAGTGAGTCCCTCAGTGAGAAAAAAAGTCACTGGATGGCTGAATTCCCACAAATTTGGGACTTTAGGAGGAGCAGCGAGCAATTGTGGCCTGTGGGATTCCACAGAGGGATGTCATTGTTCTCTGGATTAGATGATGGAGTCGGTGTTGACCCTGAGAATTCTCATTTCCCAGGGGCAAAATGAGGCAGAATTCCCCTTCATCCTCTTGGAGAATGGGAAATTCATCATCCTCACCCTCCCTGCAGCAGCAGGGCCAAGGACGAGCCGAGAAGGGAGACAGATCATCCTCCCCATCCCGGAAAAAAAAAAATAAAAAAAAAACCTAAACGGGGCTGTGACACRAGGAAGGGACGTGGGTCTGCAGCTCCTCACCTTCCCCCGCCACCCAGGCAACAAAAGTCGAGTCTAATTTTAGGAAAGGGGCGGTCAGCAGACAGGAATGTGCACGGGGAAGGTCTGTGAGTCATGCCTGATGAATTTGCTGGAACATACGGAGGACATGACGGAGTTGAGGGATGGGAGACAAAACAGTCCCCAGCTGCAGCCCAGCACTTGGCCCTCCCCGGCTGCACCGCTCAATCCCGGCGTGGTTGTCTTCCCCGGGTATTTTTAGGAGCAAAATATTTTTTTTTAGGAGCTACCACCAACTTAGCCAGCTTGAGTTGGAGGAGGCCTTTGAAAAAAGATGAATTAACCCCACAGGAGCAGAGAGCTGAGCTGGTGGAAAAAAATACTGGGGAAAAGGAACAGCACTCGGAGCGCTTGGGTCCTCTTTGAAATTTGTGACCTTGAGGGAGGTGCAGAGGAGAAAGTGTCCGAGTTTCCTGATGGCATAAGATGTGGAGGAGTTGGGAAGACCTTGAAGAGCTGGGGAAGAGCAAAAAAACTCTTTTGGGAAGTGGTGGGAGAGGGTGGAGAGCTGTGAGGCAGGAGGGGAACGCTCGGCAAAGATGAAACACCCCGAGCTTGAAGGCTCCAAAGGTGGAATGTGGATGGAGGTGAGGGAGAAATCACCTGGRGTGGGTGATCAGGAACATTCTAGAACCGTTCTGTGTGGGAATTCCTGAGAGAGGGATGGGGTAGGGAAGTCAGCAGCTCTAAAATCTGGGAATCCAGGATGGCAGAGCCCAGCATTCCTTCCCTTGCACTGCTACGGATCAGGAGCAGTGGTGTCAAAGCAGCATTAAAACACTAAAAAAAGAGAATTAAACCGTGTTTGGCAGAAATGCAAACCCAGGAAAATGAGTTTGCTGCTCCCTGAGCTGAGGGAATAACTTGGAACCAAAATCTTCATCCGTGAGGTTGCTTTTCTCCCCTTTCCCAGGAGATGAAGTGATGAGATCATGATTTCCTAAGACCCAAAACGCCGTTCCAAGACATTCCACATGACTTTTGGCTCCCTGGACCTGCTGCAGCTCTTTGTTAGCGCCAGCCTGGCTGAGATCAGGTGGAAAAGGTGTAATTCCTGTCACTTCTCAGGGCCTTGAGGTGCCAGATCCAAGGCTTTRCTTCCTTCTAGAGTCATGTGCAACTCCTGGAAACTTTGTTCTTCCTCCCGTGGCAGCCAGGAAAGCTGCTGGGARCGGGCACAGAGGGTGGGAATGCTGCAGGGATAGCAGGGAGTGTGTTGTGGATGGAGAATTCTGATTCCTGTTTGTTCCAGAGCTGCTGAGGGCAGCACATTCCCTGCCTGTTCTGTAAGGGAATGGTGCAAGATTCCTGGTTTTCATCCCAGTGGAGGATGCTGGAGCAAATCCCACAGTGAATGGAAAAATATCCTAAATCTGACATCAGCAGAAATCACCCCACCCCCATTAGGGGAAGCCCTGATGATTTAAACCGAAATCAGAGCTTTTAAATGTGAATGGCAATTTAAAAACTGAGGAAATTTCTAAAATCCCATCTCGTTTCCTTCCTGCAGACTCCGAAACCTTCCATCCCCCAGGCCCGTGTGTCTCAGAGCTTTTAAACGTGAATGACAATTTAAAAACAGAGATTTCTAAAATCCCATCTTGTTTCCTTCCCGCAGACTCCGAAATCTTCCATCCCCCAGGCCCGTGTGTCCCAGAGCTTTCAAATGTGACCAACAATTTAAAAACTGAGGAAATTTCTAAAATCCCATCTCGTTTCCTTCCCGCAGACTCCGAAACCTTCCATCCCCCAGGCCCGTGTGTCCCAGAGCTTTTAAACATGAACAGCAATTTAAAAACTGAGGAAATTTCTAAAATCCCATCTCRTTTCCTTCCYRCAGACTCCGAAAYCTTCCATCCCCCAGGCCCGTGTGTCCCAGCCCTCCCCGATTCCGCCGTGCCTGGGGCCCTTTTGGCAGGAGCAGGTCGGAGCCTCCGCTGTGCACCAAGAAATCCTGAGCTGGAGATGATCCTTAATCCYTTCCCGATGCTGAGAACCCCTCCCAGCCTCCCATTAAATGTTTTCCTCGTTACTGGTGGAGTTTTAGTTGGAGAGAGAGGAACCCCACAGAAAGCTTTTCGACTCTCTAGCACGAGGAAGAGGAGCTCACCCACTTCTCTGTGAGTTGGGAGCTGGAATGGGTGGGGAAAAAACAAAAAAAACAGGGAGAAGGTTTGTCCCCATCCCATCACTGTTGTCACCTGGGAATCAGGAGGATGCTGAATATTGGGGTGAGAAAAGGATATTTGGATATTGGGATATCCAAACCCCTTGTGGGGTCAGGGAGCTTCCTGAGCCACGAAGGAAAGGAAGAACTGTGGAAATGTCACAGCCTTGGAGGTCACCTGAGGCCAACAAATCCAGGCTGGAGGTCCTGGGTTCACCTCCCCAGCCCTAAATCCTCCTGAATTCACCTCTCCCGAAAAATCCTCTCGCTCAGAGGTGCCTGGAGGTGCATCCTACATGGCTGAGGCTGTCCCAGCATTTTCCAATTCTCTCATCTCCTGCTGGGAAAGGCTGAGCTGCCTCAGAGCCCCAGGGGCTGGTGAGCCGAGGCTCTGAAACAGCTCATCCCCTGTTATCCACCTTCCCTCTCCTGCAGCATCACTGAATTCCAGCCTTAAACCCCAGCAGCTTTTTATTCCTTCCCYGTGGATTCAGGAGATGGAAGAGCACAGCCTGCAAGGGGGAAGGAACATCCCTAAAAATCCRTGTGATGTTTTCCACCAGCCCCGCYGCCCTTTCCCTGAGCGCGGATTCCCCACGGAGCTGCTTTTGCTGCTTTTCTCTGCTCTCCCAGCATGGATCCCATCCCTGTGGGTTTTATGGGGTGTGTAGGAAGGGCTGGCACATTTCTCAGCATTCCCGAGGGTTTTAATGAAAAGAACCCCTGGGGAATGTGTGGGAGCAGTGCCCATTCTGCTGCCGGCCCCTGGGGAACGGCCCCTGTTTGCTGAAATGCAGCGATTTCAAAGAGCAGCGAGGCCAACTGGTGGTTCTTCAGCTGGGAAAGAGGCAATTATTTCCTGCTGACCGCCCACTTGCCCATAAAAATGGGATATTAATAGGGCCACCAACCCCCTCCTGCCCACCCCTTGGCTCTGTGGTTGATTCCCCATGGAGCAGCTGCCCGAACGTGCGGCTGGAAATGCTGCCAGGGAGCGAGAAGCATTTTAGGGAGGGCAGAGGCTGTGGCCAGCCAGCCATSAGGAATTCCTCAGGGCAGAAAGAAGAGATATTTCTACCCGTCAGGATTCTCCTGGGTCT